TCTGGAACTTGCTATGGAGACCAGGCTGGCCTTGAACTTCTGATCCTCTGTTTCCTACTTTACACATGTTGGGATTGCAGGACCTGCCACCACAATGGGCTCAGATAAGAATTCTTCCATTTTCAGAAGGAAAGCCTGTGTTTTTGTTTAAAAGCTGGGCGTAGTGGTGCACACCTTTAGTCCCAGCTCTCGGGAAGCAAACTCAGGTGGAGCTCTATGAGTTCCAGGTCAGCCTGGCCACATAGGAGTTGGGGAATGTTCTCCTAATATTTATTGCTTAATCCATGTGACCAGGACATACCATAATTTATTATCTCAAAAGTCCAGGTTGTGTAAAAACAAAACAAAACCCCAGGGTCAGATTGACTGAAAAGCACTTTTCATGGCTGGTGTGACCTGTGTGTGTGGTGTGTGCACTTCCTGTGTGCCTGTGGATGGGGGAGGCACGTGACCTTGTGCTCCATCACTCTCTCTGCCTTTGTCACTTGGAGAGTCCCTAGCTGAATCTGGCGCTAGGGTGGTAGCATCTGGAGGTCCTTGTGTGTCAACCTCTCCAGTCCTGAGACACTGTGACCCTTCTCTTCAAGGTAGCCCTCTAGGAGGTGACTAGATCAGCCAGTAGGAGGAGCTTTTCCCTCAGGCATCAGTTCTGGCGGACCCTGGAGGACTCACAGTAAGAACAGGCTGTCGTGAAGTGAAGCTGCCTTCTGTGTCCTGTACCTTCCAAACACACCTCTCTGCACTCCGGCTCTCACCAGAAACCCAAGCAGATCCAGAGTCAGTCAGCTTCCCAGCTGCCTGACCATAATCCAAAAGAAACCCTTGGCTGGGGGTGAGGTGTGGGGGTGACTCAGGAGGTTCCGGTCGTAGTCGGCTATGTGGTAAGTTTGGGGCCAGCCACGGATACAGGAGACCCTTAAAACCAAAGGATCAAAGCCAACAGGAACTCTAAAGTCAGTCGTGGTGGCACACACCAGTAATCTCAGCACTAGGGAGGCTGAGGCAGGGGGAAGGCTCATTGAGATTGGCCTACACCTTAAGATCGTATCTCAAAAAACCCAGACTCCAAAACACCAACAAAACTGTGTCAAATGGCTTTTGGTGATACCTCATGTCTGCAGTCTCCACACTTGGGAGGCTGGAGCGGGAGGATTGCCGTGGGTTTGAGGCCGACCTGGGCTATAGAGTAAGACTCTATCTCAAAAAGCAGAACAGAAGAGGCTCAGGATGTGACTCAGTTGGCATTGCCCCTGCCTAGCATGGGCAAAGCCTGGGTTCCAGCCCCAGCACCCCAAGAAGCTGGAGTGGTAGTGTGTGCCTGGGAGTCCAGCACTGGGGATGTAGAGGCGGGAGGACCATCCCAGGCTGCATAGGAAGTTGGAATCAGAAAATGAAAAAGAGCCAGGTATGGCAGCACACACCTTTATTCCCAACACTCAGGAGGCAAAGGCAGGTAGATCTCTGTGAGCTGGAGACCAGCCTGGTCTAGTGAGGCCCGCCTGGAATAAATAGTGAGGGCCTGTCTTTAAAAAAAAAGGGAGCGGGGCTGGAGAGATGGCTCAGCAGTTAAGAGCACCGACTGCTCTTCCAGGGGACCCAGGTTCAGTTCCCAGCAATCACATGGTGGCTCACAGTCATCTATAATGAGATCTGGTGCCCTCTTCTGGTGTGCAGGCATACATGCAGGCAGAACACTGTATACACAATAAATAAATAAATAAATAAATAAATAAATAAATAAATAAATAAATAAGAAACACACACACAAATCTTCTTCGGCTTACTGTGAAGGTGTGTCTTTG